TATATATATATATATATATATATATATATATATATATATATTCTTATTCACCAATTGCCATCAAGTCAACTTGTGGCGATCCCATGTGTATCAGAATAGAATTGCACTCCATAAGCTTTTCAATTGCTTATTTGACTGAAGCAGATCATTAGGCTTTTCTTCCAAGGTACCTCTGGGTGGACTCAAACCTCCAACCTTTAGGTTAACAACCAAGCACATTAAACCTCTGCATCACCCAGGGACTCCGTATATACATATGTGTTTATTGTCGCTTGTCTATCTCTTGCAGTTAGAATTTAAGCTTTTTTGTTCACTGATGGATCTCAAGCCCCTAGGATCAGTGCATAAATGCTTAATGAATTAAATGAAATAATCTATGTAAAGTACTAAAAGTGCATAAACAGGACCAGGCACACAGTAAGTACTCAATAAATAACAACTAAGCGAAGAACCAAGAACCACAGAATTTGTGGACTAGAAGGGATCTCACAAATCATCCAGTCCCAACTAATGTAGGCAGGTGTCACCTCTGTAGCACCCTTCTGAGCAGCTGTTGAGCTGTGCTTGAGCACCTCCAGGGACAGGGAACTCACTATCTCTTGAGGCAGCTCATTCCATCTTGGGGCAGTTTTCACTTTAGTGTTCTTCCTTAAACTAAAACTACTTTGTCATTCTGTCTCTCTGGGTTTTGGCATTTATAAAGTGAAGAAACAGAAGTTCCCCCCAAACTCCAACTGTTTTTTACTCTATTATTGAAGCCATGGCTTTCTGAGATTAAATTTTGCAGACTGCTGTCCTTCTTCTCTCACCTCAGTTCTGCCCAGACAGCCCTCCTGCTTAGAACCAGCTCTCCCTTATAGCTCAGAGATACCACTTCTAGGAACCCTTTTCTGCTAAAGCCACTAATTTAAACCTTGGCCCACTTTGAGGGGGCATGAACACAAACACACACACACACACACACACACACAAATACCTCATGACTAGAAATGCCTTCTGTCTAATTTCTATCTCACCTACTATAATTTTCAGTCCAGTTCCCATGACCTTTAAAGTTGTTACAGTGTTATGGATTAAATTGCATTCCCCCTTCCCTAAAATAAGGGAGCTCTGGTGGTGTAGTGGATAAGGCATTTGGCTGCTAACCAGAAGCTCAGCAATTCAAACCCTCCAGCTGCTCCACAGAAGGAAGATGTCTCCTTCTATAAAGATCTACAGCCTCAGAAATCCAATGGGGGTCACTATGAGTCAGAATCAACTCGATGGCAATGAGTTTGGTTTGGTTTTTGGTTTTCCCTAAAATATGTGTGGGAATCCTAACCCCTATACCTATGGATGTAATCCTATTTAAGAATAGGGTGTTTGTTGTTGTTACATTAATGGGGTCATTCTAGTGTAGGGTATGTCCTAAACCTAATCACTTCTGAGTGATAATGAGAGCAGCACAGACACAGATGTGAGCAAAACCAGGAAGACCCATGCCATGTGGAGATCACCAAGGAAATGAGGAATCCAGGGCTATAGAAAGAAGCTGAAAGAGACAAGGTTCTTCCCCTAGAACTGAGAGAGAAAGCCTTCTCCTATAAGCAGTGCCCTGAATTTAGACTTCTAGCCTCCTAAACTCTGAGAAAATAAATTTCTGTTCTTTAGAGCCACCACCTGCGGTATTTCTCAGTATTGGGAAACTAAGACACATAGCATAGTAAAAATATAAAGGCTTTAATGTCAGATCAACCTGGGTTTAAATGCCAGCCCTGACTCTAACTAGTAGTATGACACTTAGTCTCTCTCAACCACACTTTCCCCACAGGTGAGATGGGTTCATATACCTCGTTGTTGTGACAATTCAATATAATAATGAATGGAAGGGCTTAGTCCACGATTCAATATAATAATGAATGGAAGGGCTTAGTCCAGCCCCTGGAACATCACAGCCACTCAGTAAACAGTACCACTGCTAGGATGACGTTGCTGATTATTGTGTGTGCTTGCTCTCTCTGATCAAAACAGAAGCTCCTCAGGGAAACTGGCTCAATAGTACCTTATGGACTAAGGAAAAGAGCTTTCAACTGGGTGTCAAGAGATAAGGGTTTTAGCCTCATTCTATAACCATGTGGCTGAGAGGCTTAGTGGAACTCAATTAACTTCTACTGGACTTGTTTTCCCTCCCCACCTGTAAAATGAGAACTTTAAGAAATCTCTTTCCTGTAAAAAAAAAAAAGGCTTTAAAAGGATGTCTAAAGATATAAGAGGGAGCTCTGGTAGCACAGTGCCTAAGGCACTTGACTGCTAACCAGAAGGCTGGCGGTTCAAACCCACCAGCCACTCCTCGGAAGAAAGATGGGGCAATCTACTTCTGTAGTGATACTGCCTGGGAAACCCAAGGAGGGGTCGCTATGAGTTGGGGCGACTTGACAGCACATAACAACAACAACAACAAAGATATAAGAAGATGCTTCTAATATGTGAAGTAGAATAAAAAGCAGGTACATAAGTAGTTGAGGTAAGGAAAGTGAAAATGCTTTGTTGTTGTTGTTATGTGCTGCCGAGTCGGACCTGACTCATAGCAACCCCTCCTTGGGTTTCTGAGGCAGTATCACTACGGAAGTAGATTGCCCCATCTTCCTTCCGGGGAGTGGCTGGTGGGTTTGAACCGCCAGCCTTCTGGTTAGCGGTCAAGTGCCTTAGGCACTATGCCACCAGAGCTCCTGAAAATGCTTTAGAAACCCTGAAATAGTCAAGATTTAAGAGCTGATAATGACTGTGGAATCTGGAACCTGGGATTCTCTCCTGGGGGCTGGGGCAGAGTGGTCTCAGGGAGGGTTTCCATATCGCTGGGTGGGGCCAGGCTGACAGACCTCTAGGAACCTTGGCACATCCTGGTTCTGAGTGGGGAACTGCCCTTGTCTCCCAGCCCTATCAATCGTTGGGGAGGGACAGGGGCAGCTGGCCTGGCAGGCTGCTGGGCAGAGACAAAAGATTCCCTTTCAGTCCCAGTGGTAACAGAGGGATAGCTGAAGAGGAGAACACAGGTTTCCCTCACAAGTCAGCCCTCGTGCCTGGGGTGGGGCAAGCTGAGAGTTCTGGGACAGGAGGCTATGCAGTGTGGTGGCAGAAGCACTAGATTTGGAGTCAGGAGACTTGGGTTCCACCCTCATTCTGCTATCATACCTGTGTAACTTGGGCTGTTACTCTTTCCTGTGCCTCAGTTTCCTTGTCCATAAAATGGAGACACTAACTAGATCTTGTGTGGGACTTGGTGGTTCAGTTATAGAATTCTCCCCTTCCACATGGGAGACCTGGGTTTGCTTCTCAGCCAACACACTTCATGCACAGCCACCACTCATCTGTCAGTGGAGGCTTTCAATGCTGAACAGGTTCCAGTGGAGTTTCCAGACTAAGACTGACTAGGAAGAAAGGGCTGACAATCTACTTCTGAAAAATCAGCCAGTGAAAGCCCCATGAATGACAACAGTCCAATCTGCAGCCAATCATGGGGATGGTGCAGAGTTGGGCAGTGTTTCACTCTGTTGTCCACAGGGCTAACTTGGTGGCAGCTAATAACAACAATAACAACTAGATCTCATACAGATTTGGCATTCTTTGGTTTTAGGTGGAGAGACCAATGGTATTCACAGAGCCCTAAGAAAACCTTGAGAAGTTACACACCCCCAGTCCTATCCCCTGTCCCACTTTTTACTAAAAGCAAAGGATTTAGCTCAGAAAACAACCTATGCCCTTGAAACTGGATGTTAGGAAAAACCAAAAACCAAACCCACTGGCCAACTCATAACGATCACCATTTGGGTTTCCAAGGCTGTAAATCTTTACAGAAGCAGATTGCCTCATCTTCCTCCTATGGAGCAGCTAGTGGGTTCAAACCACCTACCTTTGGTTAGCAGCCGAGTGCCTTAATCACAGTGCCATCAGAGCTTCCTGTGTGTTAAGAAGGATTTCCTAAAATGTGTCAACTCATGGAAACATTAACAGCTTGTTCTCTAGCTTTTGAGCCAAGCAGGTAACATAAATGATTGCAGTGGGCCTGGGGTACCTGGGGGAATACGGAGTACCTACCCATTTTAAGAGGGTGCATTACATTCAGTCTAGTTAGTTGTGTCCATGCTAAAATGTGTTGATAGAGCTTTCCATTTTGCAAGAGAAGTCAGAAATCCAGAATTCTGTGTAAGATCTCCTAGTGTTTAAATCCTAGCAACTAAATTCACGATTCTTAAAATACTTTGCAGGCCAAACAAAACACATCTGTGGGCCAAATTCTGCCCATGGATGCCAGTTTGGGACCTCTGCCACAGACTCTGTTAAACAGATCTTTTCTGCAAAGAGAAGGAGGAGCAGATTGGATGACATCCCATACAAAAGATGTAAGTTCAAAACATAGAGGCTCAGATCTGGGATGGTGGCAGGACCAGGGCCAGAAAGACCCTTCTCCTCAACTCAGAGGGAATTATCACCACCAGTTGCCATAGAGTCAATGCTGATTCATGGCGACCTCCTGTGTATCAGAGTAGAATTGCTCTGAAGGGTTTGCAATGGCTGCTTTTTCAGAAGTAGATTGCCTGGTCTTTCTTCCAACCTTTTGATTATCAACCAAGCACATTAAATGTTTGCACCACCCAAGGACTCCAGAGGGAATTAGACACCTAACTTAGATATTGGGTTCAGCTTGAGTCTTCTTAGGGTACACACAAGCCAAAAAAAAAAAAAAAAAACCAAACCCACTACTATGGAGTCGATTCCAACTCATAGCAACCCCCACTGAGTTTCCAAGGCTGTAAATCTTTACAGTAGATCGCCCATCTTCCATCCACAGAGCAGCTGGTGGGTTTGAACCACTGACCTTCTGGTTAGCAGCCAAATGCCCCAAATGCTGGGTCACTAAGTTCATAGACAAGTAATGAAATTCAGACCTAGGGGTGGAAATCTCATAGAAGGTGATGCTAAAGAGAATTGACTTCTTGTATGTGAAGAATTAGAGGTGAGCAGATCAAATCCTCAAATTGAGATAAGGATTCAACAAGGGAGACTTTACTACCACCACCCAGAATAGGACATGGAAACAGACGGAGGCACTTCTATTTCTGGAGATAGATCCCCAGACCTGGGAGTCAGAGCTGGAGGAGATTTGTGTCAGGGAGGTGGCCTGGACTCCTGGTGTGCTCACCGATGGAAGCTGTCTACCATCTTCAGGTGCACCCGCAGGTCCTTCTTGGTGAGGTGATCCAGCATGCGGGCGTCCACCAGGCACTCCATGAAGTAGCTGCGGTACTGAGGTAGCCCCAGACTGGGCAGCCATTCGTTCCCAATCCATTCATGGTTCATGTCCCCATAGGCCAGAGTCTGGGGGAACAAGATGGGGAAGGTGATAGGGAAGAATCGCAGTGCCAGCAGCTTGCAGCACACAGACCTGGTTGGGAGAAACATTAATCCATTCTACACATGAGGGAAGAAGGGCAGCTCGATGAAATTTCAACTCATTTCCACAAATAGCTTGGTAGCGGTAGGAGAGGGGGAGTTTAAATGGAACTTATTTAAGATCTTCAGATAATAAAATCCCATGCACATAGCAATTATTTAATGAACTAATGAATAGAACCAGGGCCCAGAAAGACCTTTCCCCTCAACTTGGAGGGAATGAGACACCTAAATTAGATGTTGGGTTCAGTTTGAGTCCTCTGAGGGAAAACACAGAGAATTCAGGAAACCAAAGACAAGTAATGAAATTCTTTCTGGGCAGCAGATAATATAGAATCTTTCTGTCAACTCTGGAATGCATTTTTTTTTTTTTTTAATAGCAGACTTAAGGAGCACTGATGGTGCAGTTGTTAGGACATTCAGCTGCTAATCAAAAGGTTGGTGGTTTGAACCCATCAGCTGCTCCTCAGAAGAAAGATGAGGTATTCTGCTTTTGTAAATATGTATAGCCTTGAAAACTCTATGAGGCAGTTCTACTCTGTCCTACAGGGTCACTATGGGGTGGAATCAACACCATGGCAATGAGTTTGGTTTGGGTTTTTGGTATAACAGATTTGCCTTCTTAATTCTGGGTATCCCACTGAGCCCAGCAGTCAGGCTGTGTTATGGGGACATATGGAGAGTTAGAGGAAAGCCAGTGTGGCTCTGTGAAATGGCTGGCCTCACACAGTGCACAAGGGAGTTAGTTAAATGTTGGCAAAAGACATAACAATAGAGGCCTGCACCAAATAGCCAGAACTCAGTTCTCTATTCCTGGTCATCTACTCCAAGAATTCCTCAGGTCCTTTATTATGTTCCTTGGCTCTCAGAGGCCTCTCTGCTCAGGCGTCACCACCTCAGCAGTGTCTTCCCTGACCACTGCATCTTTGGAAAGCTTTAGTTTTAACAACAACCCTCCATCATTCTCTTTCCTTACCCTCCTTTAGTCTGAAAATTTTTCTTTTGTTCTTTTAAAATAAAGTTGTTAGTCATATAAAGATATATGTAATATACATTAGTTATTAAGAATGAAAATGAAGGGGGAAGTACAGAATGGAATTTCAAACTCTCATGGACTCCAGACTTTCTGGAGCCATGGAAGCTGGATGAACCCCTGAAACTATGGCCCTGAGATAATCTTTAAACCTTAAACCAAAAATATCCCCTAAAGTCATCTTAAAACCAAACAATAGTTTAGTTTAACTAGCAAAAAAAAAAAAAAAAAGTCTGCCGTGAGCATTATGCTCTTTAAGAACTATGGATAGGAGATCAAGGGAGCTCTGGTAGCATAGTGCCTAAGGCACTTGACTGCTAACTAGAAGGCTGGCAGTTCAAACCCACCAGCCACTCCTCGGAAGGAAGATGGGGCAATCTACTTCTGTAGTGATACTGCCTTGGAAACCCAAGGAGGGGTTGCTATGAGTCAGGTCCGACTCAACGGCACATAACAACAACAACATAGGAGATCAAAGTGACAAGAGCAACTCGAAATATTAGAAAATACCCTTGGGGTGGGGGCCTCTGGTAGCGTAGTGCCTAAGGCACTTGACTGCTAACCAGAAACTGGCGGTTCAAACCCATCAGCCACTCCTTGGAAGGAAGGTTGGGCAATCTACTTCCGTAATGATACCACCTGAGAAACCCAAGGAGGGGTCACTATGAGTCCGAGACGACTTGATGGCACATAACAACAACAACAACACCCTTAGGGGGCAGTGAATTTATGTTAATGGCAGAGGAACAACTCAGGAAAGGAGGATGAGAATGGGTACTCAACTCAAAGAACGTAATCAATGTCAACAAATTGTACAAATTGTTGAGTTGGTTTATGTTTGACTATATGAATATTCTCAACAACAAAATAAATAATTAAAAAAAAAAAAATGAATGAGTATCCTTGGCCCCACCATGCAGATCAGTACCTGGAACTTGATCCACACTGTGCCATCCACCTTTGGGCTCCTCCTTCCCCAGCCACTGCCTACTGCCCCTCTAACCACTATCCTGAGTTTTCCATTTATCATTTCCTTGTGCTTTAAAAACAAAGAAAAATTATAGTTCTTTTACAACCACTGATGTATATATATTGAAACAATTTGTTATTCATTTTGCTTGCTTTTTTCGTTTTAGTATCAAATTCAATGAATCTTCTGGGACTTGTATTTTACACTAAACATTATGTTTCTAAGATTCATCCATTTCCTCTCCTGAATATCTGACATACTGTTCAATTATTTGTGTATTCATTTAGTGTCTGTCTCCTTTGTAGAAGCTCCAGGTGGGCTTTGTTTCTTCACTTCTGTATCCAGAGAGCCTAGAAAGACCTCATACCCAGTAGATGCTCAAAAAATACTTGCTTATAAATGAATGAATGAAGGCTGTTGCTCAGGTCACCAGGAGTGCCCCTGAGAGGGGCAGGGAGAGAAGAGGATTCATATAATCTTAGCCTCATTTTTCCTGGGAGGATAGTCAAACTGAGGGGAGGAGTCAGGCATGTTGGGGGCCTAGCCCTTCAAAGTTCCTTACCTGCCATTCTGAGAAAACAAAATGAACAACTAAAGGGGAATGAGGAAAGGGAGGTTTCAGAAGGAAGAGAGAACCTGTATCCAGGGCTCTTAGTGTGAAGAGGCATAAAAATACACTGAGACTCAGGGTGGTACCAGGGAGAGGACCTATTGGGTCCTGAACTTCTGAGAGTTGGTTCTGGAGGAGGGAAAGGGTCTTACCTGAGCCCAGCTGCCCTCCTCACTGTCCTAGCAGGAACGAGTGTAGCGTGTCAGGGGAAACAAGCAAAGTCAAGAAACCTAGCAGCCTCTACCCCAGACCCCATCAAGAAGAGGAAGAAGCAGCCCAGTAGTTGGGTAGGTGATCAGGGAAAGCTTGTTGGGACAATTAAGAGAGACCAGAAATTTAAAGGAATTGCAATTAGTAAGCCAACAAGGAAAAATCTTCAAATTAACTTGTCACCTCAAGAAGATACAAATTTAAATAATAAAGTGATACTGTTTTCCACTTAATAAATTAGTTTTTTTTTTTTTTAATTCCAGAAAGGTTAAAGTAAAATGGATGTTGTCATACCCTACAAGAGGAAATATAAATTATCATACTTAATAATATGCATCACAAGCCTTAAAAATGTTCATACCCATTGACACAGCATTTCCATTTTGGAGAATATTCCAATAAATTATTTCTAATGATGTAAAAAAAAAAAAAAGTGAGAGACCAGAAGGCTGATGCTGTTTGCAGTGAGAAGGAAACAAATGTGTGTATGGCAATGACACATTTGCATGCTTCCCAGGCTCTAGCAGAAGCCCAGCAGGACATCAGGCTCTCCTAACTCTCCCTAATCCTATACCAAGGATCAAACACAAAAGCAGGGACTCTGGCTTCAGGCCCATAGTAGCCAGAGCAAAGCCCTGCCAAGCCTGGCTCTTCCTCATTGCAAGGCACCAGTGGCCTAGGATAAGCCCCCTCCAAACTGTTCCCAATCTCACCATTTCTACCTCCCAACCCTCTACCCTGAGAATAGAACCCAGTCATATATCAATCCAACCCTGACTTCCCACAGCTTTCTCCTGGTCTTCAAGGGAGTCAGCAGCCCAGGACCAGACTCACTGTTTTAGTGGATGTTGCCAGAGTTTCCATCTCTTCATGGGTGACCCAGACGTTCCCAGAAGACTGTAAGCAGAGAGGAAACCTAACTAGTCCTGGGATGTCCATCAAGCTGGGACCCCCAAGAACAAGAACAAAGCTCCCTTCCTCTGAATCCTCCCATAGGCCAAGCCCATACCTCTGCACACTTGTTATCAGGGTATACATTTCTTTTATCATAGTATCCACACTGCTTAGCACAATGCCTGGCACACAGAAGGTGCTGAATGGATATGAATGAATGGTGCTGATCTGGAGATGGACCACAGTGAATTTGCCCCAGGGGCTCATGGAGTACCTGCATTCTCATGGGGAGTGGGAAGACCCTGGCAGAATTCTCAAGTGTCCTACTCCCTCTGCTTCCCCCAATCCTATAAGATAGAACCCCAGAAGTCCCACCCTGGAAATCCTGAGATCTGAAAGTTTTGGCAGGGTAAGGAAGGGGAAGTTGAACCCATGAGTGGTATGTAAGAAGTAGGAGCCAGGACTGCTAGGATCTTCCTAGAGTCCCCTCCCAGAGTGGGGCTGGGGAAAGACTCAATGCTAACATCTTTCCAAAGACAAATGAAAGGCTTTGCAAACACTATTTCAGGCCTCTGAAAATGTCCTGGGTGAGGGAAAAGCCACTCACGGTCCTGGAAGTGGGTGGGGCTGAGGGGCTGGTCAGTGACACCATCTCTTGGATGGCCAGCCGGAGCTTGAGCCGGTGCAAGGCATTGCTGATGCCAATCTCCCGCTGGATTTCTGTGTCCGACAGGGCAGACATGATGGCACCACTCTTGACATTGGCCCGGCAGGCTGCTACATACCAGGCAGGCATCCCCACCCAGAGCTGTAGACACAGGGCATAGGGAGATAATTCAGGACCTTCCCCAAGATCTGAGCCACATTACCAATGCCAAGAGCCTGGCAGTATCAAGGGACAAGGGCCAGGTCCCATCCATGGCCTCAGGATAGACTATGCAGAGCATAAGAACTTAGAAATGCAGAGATGATTACCATCAAGTTTCTCTCTCTTCCACTTTACAGATAGACTCTGAGGATTGGGAAGGTAAAGGGATTTTTCCAACATCACATGGGTGATTAGCTCCTGGGGGATAGCCTATATGAAGATTCAAAGTGCCTGTAAAAGTCCAATGCCTCAATGGTAATGAGATCCCCTTATCCAAACTTGGAGTCTCTGGGTAATGCAAACAGTTAACGAGCTTGGCTGTTCATATACCCAGAGGTACTTCAGAAGAAAGGCCTGGTGATTGACTTCTGAACATGCAGCCATTGAAAACGTTATGGAGCACAGTCCTACTCTGACATACATAGTGTCTCCATGAGTTGAAATCAGCTTGATGGTAAATGGGTTTATCCAAACTTAGCTACCCATGAAGCATCAGTGGGTAACATCAATTCTGTCTTCCAAAGTAACAAGGGAAGTGGGCACATGTGCACTTGGCTGAGAAGAAACATGGTGGAGAAGTTCTAGGGACACCATCTTCAGCCTGAGGAGTCCCTATACCCCCCGCCCCCCTCACACACATATCCCTACCACTCTGCCCCTTGAGAGGGCAAGCTCTGGCCAGGTTTACCTCCAGCCAGGAGACCACAGTTGGGCCATCCCACTGGGCAAAGGGAATTCCTTTTCTGCGGGCATCTTCAAGCAGCTGGTGTCTTGTAGGAGGAAAAACAAGAGTCATTAGTCCTTCCTTCTCTCCCAATCATGCTCATTCCTGGGGACCACTGAGTATGCCAAGAATTAGACTCCCACTATCCCTGCTCTTCCCCCCTGGGACTGCCACCTCTGCTCTATGCCTGAAGCAGTGACACCAAGAAATGTGCCAACAAGACTCTCTATCCCCAAGACAGCAAAGAGCTCTCTATTTGCAAATGACCTGACACATAACTGCCTTGCCATTGTCACCTCTGCTAGACACTCACAGGTTCCAGCCACTCTCTCATAGCCCCCTCTCTTCTTTCTCCTGAGGGTCACTTTGTGTTCCCACAGGGACTAGGCCAACTCAGTTCAGAAAGGGCCTTGCAAGGCTCTGGCTCCCTGAGCTCAATACCCTTGGAAGGTGGATGGGGGGCTGCAATCCACCCTGGTAGACCCTGGCCTGTGGCTCTTACTTCTTCTTCAACCGCCGGTCCTTCTCTGCCTGGGTCCCCAGCTTGGCAGGTACCATGGGCTCCTGCAGACTGAGCTCGGAGTCTGTTAAGATAACTAGAAGGGAAGAGACAGGCATGTCACCAATCCTCTGCTACTCCTCCCATGGCCTGGCCAGGAACAGAAATGGAAGCAGCAGGAGAGCACCTGTGCATGTGATCATCACTCCTGGAGCCTCCATTCAATGTCCCTGCATCCAGTCAGTCCCAGAGTGGCATCCAATGGGCCATCCCCAGCTCAGTTTTCCCCCTATGCTTCAATCTTGGAGTTTTCTAACTGAATGGACCAAAGTTGTCCCACTCTAATGGCAATAGAATCCTAAACAGAATTCATTCCAAATCCCAACCAAGGTGCAAAGGAAACCCAGAGAGCCAGATACACGGGCTACGAGATTCCAAGACAAGAATTATCCTAACTTGGGCCAGGGGTAGGGAAACAGAGTAGGCTGAGAAATGTGTCCCTCAGCCTCTTTCTCTGGGTATGCTCACAAACACAAAACTACAAATGGGAACACAGCCCTGTCTTCTAGTAAGTGTTCTGAATTGATGCCAGAACCCTATAGATTTCATGGCAAGGGGCAGCATATTAGAATTCATTTTTCTGTAAGAAGTCCTAGTCACTCGCCAGGGTCACAGTGCACAGGGATTAGTGGGATGGAGATCCAGAAACCAATCTGACATGCTGCCTTATGTTTAGATGCCAAAGTGGTGGGTAATAGGCAGTCACAAGACTGCACGGCACACAAGATGCCTCTTCTCCTGACCACACCTTTCAACTTCCCCCATCTGTGGTCAGCTCCACAACTCCCTCACCCCCTACAGGCTGGGGGGTGTGCACCAGCTCACTCCCAGGCTAAGGCTCCCCCACCCTGAGCAGAGGTATCCATCTTTCCTCTATGCTCAGCTAGCTATGTTTGATTCATACCTTCCTGTGTTATGTGTGCCATTGAGTCGATTCCAAATCATAGTGACCCTGTATAACAGAGTAGGACTGCCTCATAGGATTTTTCAGGCTGTAATCCTTATGGGAAAAGATCACCAAGTCTTTTTACCCATGGATCCCCTGGTGGATTTGAACCACTGACCTTTCAGTTAGCAGCTGAGCAATTAACCATTTTGACACAGGGCTCCCTTTCCTGAGGTATAGGAAGATATAATTAAGCATCTGGGTTCAAAGGTTCTTCTCTTGTAGCTGATCACATCCCTCCCCTACATGAAATGCATCAACACTCCCACTGACAAAGGGATCATTTCCAGACCTCTTCTGCCTCTTACAAGGCTCTTATGAGCTGGCACCAGCCTAGCTGTCCAAACTACCTCCATCCACCTCCTTCTTCCCCACTCTGAACATATTCAACTACTAACAGAAACCTCCTACCCACTAGCCTTTCCCTTTCTCAACAAGCTCCCCCATCCCCAACACACACACACCTCTCATTTTGGCTTGGCTAACTCCTATTTATCCATCAGACTTCAGCTCACATATTACCTAGCAGAGGAAGCCGTTCCTGTTGCTCCCACCACTCCCTGGCTGAGTTAAACACCCCTCTCTTCAAAGCTTCAGAAGCACTCTGGGCATCTCTCTACTGTTAGACTGCTTTGGAGTCACCTCTATTTATTTCCTTTTCCATTAGTCACTGAGTTCCTTCAGGGAACAGACTATCATGCCAACACCTAATCCTATGCCTGTATACAGTAATTACTCAATAAACGTTTGTTGAATAAAGGACTAAATTTTTTTTGTTGTTGTTGTTGTTTGCCGTCGAGTCGGCCCCGACTCATAGCGACCCCTCCTTGGGTTTCCGAGGCAGTATCACTACGGAAGTAGGATTGCCCAACCTTCCTTCCGAGGAGTGGCTGGTAGGTTTGAACCACCAGCCTTCTGGTGAGCAGTCAAGTGCCTTAGCCACTATGCTACCAGAGCTCCCAAAGGACTAAATAGGCAAGGGGAAAAGAAGGAGGGAGGATAAAGGGGAAGGAAAGAAAGAATAGGGAGAGGGAAGAAAGAGAGCTAACATTTATTGTGTTCCTACCATGAGCCAAGCATGTACTAGAACATTTTACAGGCAGACCTTGTCTTATTGTGCTTTGCTTTATTATAATTCACAGATACTGCTTTTTTTTTTTTTTTACAAATTGAAGCAAGTCTGTCATGCTTTGAGCAAATCTAGCAGTGCCATTTTTCCAATAGCATGTGGTCATTTTGTGACTTCATGTCACATTTTGGTAACTTTCATAATATTTCAAACTTTTTCATAATGCTATTGCACACTTAATGGACTACAGTATGGTGTTAACATAACTTTTATATGTACCGGGAAACCAAAAATTTCCTGTGACTCACTTACTTGCAAAATTCACTTTATTGCAGTGGTCTGGAACCAAAGCTGCAGTATCTCCAAGGTATGCCTGTATTATCACGGAGGTATAATAATTCTACCCTTACATTTACATGAATTTAATGTCTATAAAGCCACAGAGCTATGGTAATATTGTTGAGTCCTGGAGGCCACATGTAGTAGAAATAAGTTCTAATCAAGAACTGACTGTTCTAAAGAGAGAACCAAGAAATTTCTCTAGCCTCATTTGGTTTACTTCTTGAAGGTCCCAAGCACAATAATATCAGGAAATCTCCAAAGTGGAAGAAACCTCAGAGGTCCAATACAGGAGGCTCTTCTATAGCAGCCAAGCCAATAGCCATCCAGCACCACTTGGCATTTCTAATGGCAGAAGCCTCCCCCTCATAAGGCCTATCCTGCCATGAACCAGCTCTAACAGAGAACTCTTGCTTCTCTGGAGCTGAAGTCTCTCTGCCTGTGGCTTCCACCCACTGGTCCCTGGGAGTGAGGTGAAGGTCTGATCCAAGTATACCCTTCTGCTTTTGACCCCTCTACCCTCGCCCCTTGACTAGGAAGGGGACAGAGACCATGGCCCGTGGCTCCATCCCGACTCAGCTGAATCAGCCTGCCCTTCTCCTTCTTCCCGAACAGGCGGCCGATGGACGATTTGATGCCCTTGCGTTTGGCGCCCTTGTGTAAGGAGTCCTGGCTGCTGTTGCTGCTGCTGGGGTTGCTGCCCTGATCCTCCAAGGAACTAAAGGATGACAGCCAGGAGGGGGTGGAATGAGAAGAAACATACTTAAATTACAGCAGGAAAGACAGAAGTTAGAACTCAGGAAGAACCCAGAGTGAAGCTGGGGGTAAAGGGGGGTGATCAAAGCATGTGACCAAGAGAGCCATGGGAATTTCCTTCCCCGATGGTATGGCAAAGAGAAGTGAGATGTTCAGGTGCCTGAGACAGGTGAGATGCAGTGTGTTCAGAGGCAGGGGAAGGATGAGATGATCTTGGAGATGGAGAGACTAGAGGTGGGGCCTGCTCCACTTACCTCTTGCCTTCCTCCTGGCTCAGGGCTGGGTGGCCAAGCTTCTCTAGCCGCAGCGTCCTGGGTGAGGAAGGAGGAGAAGTCTCACATTTTATGGTGGCTTTATCCTCTCGGTTCTCTTCCCGAGACACTGGCGACTAAACAGATAGTGGAGCCGTCAGGGAATAGAGGGAGAGACTGGGTGCCTGCCTACCCAGCCCACACAAGGCATGGAGAAATGCAGTGGGGAGGGTCAGGGGTCTCTCTGAGTTCAGACTCAGACTCAAGGGCTCGGGGAGGAAAAGGTCAAAAGGAAAGGGGCTGGGGGCAATTAACCCGGTAGTACCTGGGTCATCAGGCAGCACTCACCAGCAGCTTCCTCCTATGCTTTCTTAAGTCACTGGGCTGGAAGAGAGAGTAAAGGGTGAGCACTGACTCACCTTGTGGGTGCCCTAAATCAACCCCACAAGGGGAGCCCAGTGGCTTTATTTATTTAGGGTTGAGTGTCCTTCCCAGCTTCTCCCTGGCACTGCCCAGGCCCTCAGGGCCTCACACAGCTCTGGAGAGAGCATCACAGCAGAAACACACTGACCTGCAAAGATAAGGTGGGGCTACCTCTGGGAGAGAGGAAAGGGTGTGGGCGTGGGTGAGTTTCTTAAACGCTCTATGCAGAGAGAAGGAGCATATTATATACCCACAGCCACTGCCATCAAGTAATTGTAATTCATAGCAACTCTATAGGACTGCCCTGCCCCATAGGGTTTCCAAGGCAGTAAATCTTTTTGGAAGCAGATTGCTTCATCTTTCTCCCAGTGATTGCTGGTCAGTTCGAACTGCTGAACTTCTGGTTAGTAGTTAAATGCTTTAAACATTGTTCCACTAGAGCTCCTGATACTACATAAACCAAAAACCAAACTCACTGCCATCGAGTCACTTCCAACTCATAGTGACTCCCATTGGATTTCCCAGGTGGTAAATCTTTACAGAAGCAGATTGCTCCATCTTCCTTCTGTGGAGTAGCTGGTGGGTTTGAACTGCCAACCTGGTTAGTGGTCAAATGCCTTTGGCACTGTACTACCAGAGCTCCTACGTATGATACTACATAAGCCCCTTCTAAATCCAGAAGTTCATTTTGGAGGCCTGAAATCCCAGGACCTGCACCATCATGGGGAAAAGATGCCAGGCCTGATTAAGAGAGTATGACCCCTACTATCCTATAAACTCCCATTGGCCAGCCCCCATAGTAAAACCCAATGATGGCAAGGGCTGCCTTTCAAATGCCCAAAGAGTCTCACCAGGGTCATGACACCCATTCGGTCCAGGTCCTGGGCAGCACTGCGGGAGGTAAGCTTCTGTGTCAAGCGGCCACTGAGTGGGGGGGATGCACTGGCCAGGGACAGGGCCGTCAGGGAGGTGGGGATGGAACCACGTTTGCGCAGCTGTGTCAGGTTTAGGGCCTCCATGCTACTGCTGGTCACTCGCGTCTCAATCTCCTCAGCACGGAGCTCAGTGGACTCCTTCTCTTCCTGGATCATCCTGAGAGTGGGCAAAGTCAGATCTCACTGTTAGCTCAGGCAGTCCCTAGGTTTCCCACTCTGTCTGGCACTGAGGGATAGACAAGCCCTGGTGGGCACAGTTGGTTCTATTCCATCGTAGCTCCGAATCTTATTTCTTCCTTTCTGGCTAGCTGGCCTACCTCTTGGTTCAACAAAACCAGTCACTGAGAAAGAGTACTGGGAAAGAGTGAAACACAACCATCCTGGAAGTCAGAATCCCTGACTACAGGGGTGACCCTAGTCAGGCACTTTGTCTTTGGGCCTCAGTTTCCCAATATATCCAATGTCAAAAAAACAGCTGTCATTGAGCCTATTCTGACTCGTGGCAACCGCACATGTATCAGAGTAGAACTGGGCTCCACAGGCATTTCAGTAGCTGATTTTTCCAAAATAGATTGCCATGACTTTTTCCCGAGGTGCCTCTGAGTGGACTCAACCCTCCAACATTTAGGTTAGCAGCCAAGTATGTTAACTGTTTGTACCACCCAAGGACTCCATACAATGCCAAGAGCAGTCTAAATCAGTAGATCCCAAACACAGAACCTTTAACTGATGGTGAGTGACCTCTGACAGGGTTTACCCTGTTTAAAGAAAAGTGAGAAAAATAATGATAAGGGTGTATGGATATGTATGTGTGTGTGCACACTCCGAGAAGCAGTGTGCGTGGCATTTATACATGCTCACACATGCACATATGCATGCATATACATACACTGATTGAAAGATGTCAACTGTCCTTTATGGAGAAGGACTCAGCTTCATTCTGAGAGTGTGTATTTCCTACCTTGTTGTTGCTACTGTGTGCTGTGGAGTTGATTCTACCTCACAGTGACCCAATACGATATAGTAGAACTTACCCATAGGGTTTTCTAGGTTGTAATCTTTACAGGAGCAGATTGCCATGTATTTTCTCCCATGGAGCCGCTGGTAGATTCAAACTGCTGACCTTTTGGTTAGCAGCCAAGCAGTTAACCATTGCTCTACAAGGGCCTTTCTTTGACACAACAGTTGTGTGATTGTAAATGGCAGTTATCTTTAATGTTTTACTTTGAAAAATAAACAAGGTGACAGTCCTATGTTAGTGCTCTTCTCTTTGTTCCTACTGATCTGCCAAATCCAAACACTTGGAAATCATTGAGTCAGATGACTTCTATGGCTGGTAAAGCTCTAATACATTCTGGTTCCTATTTCCCTTTGCTGTTTGTCACTATCATTAATGAACTCTCTAAAAAGGCAGGATAAGGTAGAGGTTTTGACAACTTTCCCTGGCACTGGCTTCTCTTTGATGCCTTATTCAGGATAAGAAGCATGGCACAGTGGGCTGAATTTAGACCTGAGTTTGAATTCTGACACTACTACTTTCTAGATGTGTGGCCTTGGGCAAGTCACTTAACTCCTCTGAGCTTCTTTCCCCTTTTCTGTACGATGGAGATAATGCTGCCCTCAGTGCCATGGTAAAGGGGTGAGGGGAGAAAAAAAAAGAAACAGAAAAGCCTTCAGACTGTGGTTGCTCCATCAGACTAGGGGCTTCCTAACAGCAGAGATGAATCTTCCCCCATTGGACTAGGAGTCCATTCTTTCTCTATCCATATAGAGAAACCAGTAACATTCTCAAAGTTGTCCCCATGAACTGGACTTAGCAAGTGGGACCTACACTCATAGTGATCATAGTTCACCGTAGGAGCTGCAGGCACACAGACTCCAGTCCAGCCACATCCCCAGCCCTGGGGGAGGCAATGAAACCTAAGAAGTCAGACCAAAGTCCCAGCCCCTCTCAGCCCAGCACTGGGCCAGAACCTTGCCTGACAACCAACACGGGACTCTAGACTGTGGACACAAGCAAATACATATACAAGGTTCCTTCTCCCCTGTAACTCAGTCCCAGTTCTAAGCTGCGTTTGCCCAAACACAAAGGGGCCTCATCCTTCAAGGCACCTTTCCTCACCTGATCTCCTCGTTGATGGCATCTAGCTGCTCCTGCAGCATCATGGCCAGCGTCTGAGCATCAGAGTGGCTGCTGGGGGAGACAACATCCACAGAGCCTACCAGCCCACCTGGCTCATCCTCATCCACATCAGAGATCTCAGGATCACTGTCAAAGGCAGGGGTTGCTGTGGGGGCCAGGACCCCAGGCAGTGGAGATGGCTCCCAGTCCTTAGCAAAGAGGGAGGGCAAAGGAGAGTTAATAAGACACCCCAGATAGCTGAGGAGCAGCAACATCTCCCCCTCCACCATCTCCTTCTAAACGACCTCAACTCTTGTGCTACTCAATGCATGGTCCTAGGACATTCACATCTCCTGGGAGCTAGTCAGAAATGCAGAATCTCAGCCTTCACTCCCAATACTACCAATTCAGAACTGGCATTTTAACAAGATCCTCAGGTGATTTGTTTGCCCATTAAAGTCTAAGAAATAGTCTAAGTCTAACTCAAGAAGCTAGATAGCATCATGGTTATGAACACAGATTCTAGACAGAGACTGCTTTGATTTGAACCTTGACCCTACTGAATACTGGTTGTGCAACCACAGGAATGGGATGCCCACACCCCATCCCTGCCCCGACCACCTAATCTGTCTGTGCCTCAGTTTCTTCATTTATAAAACAGGGATAATGATAGCACCTGCCTCAAAGGTAGAATTAAACGAGGAGATGCACTTGACACGATATTTGGCACAAGGTAAGTGGACAAAGGTCAAGAAAAGGAAAGGACACACTACTGGGCTTGGAGAGCAGGAAAAGCAGTGGAGAGAAAAGGAAGGGGGCCAGGGATATGTGTGGATATTGCAAAATTGCTCTTCAAGATGACTACACTGGTTTACCATCCCAGCAGTAATGTATGAGAGGGCCTCTAACTCCCTCTAACTCTAACTCTATAACCCTAATCCCCAAGTCCTCCTTAGGGCTCTTTTCTAGCTCCTGCAGCCTTTAGTCTGAGCTCTTCAGTAGCTACTGTGTTCTTATAAACAGAAAGTGTAAAGGGGGTGAGGGGAGAGAGAAAAAGAGGTGCCTTCAGACTGTGGCTCCTCCATCAGGCTAGGGGTTTCCTAAAGGCAGAGATGAATCTTCCCCACATCAAACTAGGAGTTCTCTCTTTCTCTATCCATATCTTCTAGTACCCCAGAGCATGGAGAGGATCTGGGCTCGGGCCAGATAATGGTTAACAATTCTGGGGCCAGGCAGGAATCTGACTGCCTTAAAAGACTGAAGTCAGTCCTTTTCTGCCCCATATCTTTCCTGGTTCCCCCAGAACCTCCCAAGGCAGACTAAGACAGCATGAACACTCAGCTGCTTCTCAGAAAACTCCAGGTGCCATCCCAAAGGCCCAGTTAATCAGTCATCCCTCCCTCATCTTCCCCAAACCACAGCTTTTGTTCCAGAAAGCTTGCCAATTCCATCTTGCTCCTGCCCACACCCCATCCCTGCCCCAACCACCAGAAACACACGCCTGCACACCCAGGCACACGCACACACGCTTCTGTGGGCCCTCGGGGACTAGCTGGCCGCCCGCCAGCCCCTACCTTTTGCCCACCAGGAGGCTGGGGCCAGGGGGGCACAGCTGTTGCAGCTGACAATGGCCCCAACCCGAGGGCTGCAGCTGTTGTCAACATGGGGGTGGACAGGGGGAGGATTTGCACCACACGCCAGCCGTCTGTGTAACTGGAGCCAGGCACATGGCCGAACTGACCCCAAACTCCCCGGGGAGAACCCCCCCAAATCCACACCTCCACTCCCTCACCTTGGCAGGCTCTTCCCGCAGTGCCGAGTAGCGGCGATGTAGGCTGGGGGGTGCATGAGTGGTTGTGGTCAAGGAGAACCGCACGTCCGCTGCACTGCCCATGTGCGACCTTCAGTAGTGTGGGCAAGAGAAAAGACAGTGCCTAAGGACTGAGAGCCCCAGTTTACATCCACTGGGCTCAAAGAGCTAAGGGAGCTTCAGCTTGGAGAAGAGAAGGCTTAGCAGGACAGAGAGCTATCATAAATGTTTGAAGGGCTGCCACTTAAGAAAGAGAGTAGGCTTATTCTCTGTTGCTCCAGGGGTCAGAATGACCCAGGGGAGAAAGTTCTAAGGAAGCAGCTTGCCATTTAACATAAGAAGGACCTCCTAATAGCAAAAGTTGGCTTATGATGCAACTGGCTGCTTTAGAAAATTGAGCAGCTCTCCCTTCAAATGTATTCAAGTGGAGACCCTTTAGCCTTCTGACTGGAACAGTGCAGGAGGGTTCCCAGCACCAACAAAGGTTGGAAGGGATGTTCTCTACAGGGCCTTTCAGCTTGGAGAGGCTTTGTTTCTTGGTATTCTCAGCAACTTTTCTTGGGTCTCCCTATAATCCAGACCAAGTCCCTGGCTGATATCCATCCCCAGGAAGCTTTCAAAGGCCCCAACACTATCAGACATGGTCTGGAGAAACCATTTTGACTTCCTCAAGTGTCTATTCCAATCAGGAGATTTTAGGATGCCAGGAACAATCTTCTGGAATATCTAGAAGCTTCTCCTACTGACACTTTTTCCCTATTCCTTCCCAGCTTAGAATCCTTGAGGGAAGAGTGAAGGGACAGAGAGCCTACAACAGGTAGCTGGAAAGAAGGGGAGTTTCTGCTTATCCCTCCCTTCTCCCCTGCAACTCAGTCCCAGTTCCAAGATGGGTCTAGGGGTCAAAGCCAGGAATTCCCAAACATTAAAGAAAGAAAGTAGTGACAAATGGTTTGCTGTACTCTGAGCCATGTCTTTTTTGGACTTGGTCCTTTGCAAGCAACCTACAAGAAAGGAGAAGTAGGAGAAATCCCAGCTACCATTTTCTGTCTCAGTTCCCTGCATCTCTCCGTATCATTGTACCATAATTTATAACGAACTTGAAGATGGTATTTAAATCTGGGGTACTACCCCAGATACTCACAAGCTTCTCTTCTTCAAACTCAATGTCCCTGTCCCTAATTCAAGCACTACACCCTCCCGAAAACCCACATATAAACACACAAATTTCCTTTAACCTCTCTTTATGGAAGCTGATCCGTACTACCTGATATAATAAGCACATGACTGAGGGGAACCACAAGGTGTTCTGATCTAAGAGACTAAGAAACCAATGACCTTGAGTGGCATCATCTACTTTTGTCTACTCGACCTAAGGGCAGACTTGAGGTCTGAATTCAATGCCAATAGCCTCACAGACGGGGAGAAAAATCCAGAAGTTTCCTAAAACATGATCCTAATTCAAGCATTAGGAGGAAAGCTCCACTCACCATCTCTTAAAATGTTTTTAGGAAAAGAGATGCCACAACTTTATTAGTGACCTGACATAGCAACTCCCAAAAGTAAGGAAGTTCTTGATGCTTCATTTCAATCTCTCCTGCTGCCATTCTGCCCACTACCTGCTATATGAATTCAGTCCTCAACTCTCAAACAGCAATCCTCTAGAGCTCTAAAGACAGTATCTCAAAAGAACTAAAGTAGCACTCTCCCTCAGGGGTTGTGGGACATGGGTGAGCACATAATTCAGCAGACCCCTCACCAACAGCATGCCCCTCTGTGAAGGAAGCAGGAAGCATGGCCTATGTCCCATGGTACTAAGGAAGGAGCATCATCTGCTTTACCTGCCTCTTAGTATCCCTCTGAAGACAGATAGTCCCTTCTAAACTGCCCGTGTGAGCTGGGATACTTTGAACAAGTACTCTGCGCCTTGGGGCCCCACCCTGAATAGGAGGAGGACCCTGAGGTCCTGGGCAGTCTTTTGGTGAAGGAAAATCTCCTTCCTCAGGGTCCATCCAGGACCCCATCCCAGCATGCCCAGCCTCCCGTGCTCCAGTACCTGGAGTGGATGCCATCCACAAACGGCCCCCCTCGACCCTTCAGCTGGTCCACCTCTTGGCGCAGCTTCTCAATCTCTTCAGACAGACGGCCCTGTGCCAGGCAGACCCAGGGTGAGGGTGGGGGCCAGGGAGGGGCAGAGAGGGAGAGTGGCCGTCAGAGAGGGACAAAGTGGACAGAATTGGGGAGAAATAGGAGAATGCACTGCAAAGTCCAATGCCAGGGGCCCCCGGCCAGGCCCACAGATGACACCAAAGAGAAGAGGTTCAACTGGAGCGTGAGCAGAAACATCCGCAGAGGAGCAGGCAGAGTGTCTGAGCCAGGAGAGGGGTCTGTCTGGGGGAGGACACTACTAGAATAGGGCTGCTGACCCCTCACCACCACCAGTGGCATGGCAAATGAGGCTGGGCAGCAGAAGAGCCCAAGTACCCTCCCAGACCTCACAGACATTGCTGAAGTAGGAATAGTGGCTAATCCTCCAGGAATCACTGGACTCTTGCCTCAGCAGGGGTTGAAGTCCCATCATATCCTTTTGTTGAGCCCTCCACTGGGTCCTATCTCTGTGCTGCCACCACCACCACCCTACACCTGAGCCTATGGCCTTGGTTTCTTCTTTACATGTGAGGAGGAATGTACCTACTATGAAGGGCTGTAGTGACAATTGGTGAGATCATGTACATACACAGGCTAACCTATCCGCTAACACAGTGCCGAGTACCACAGCAGCTGCATGAAAACAGGCGTTTCTTCCCTCTCGACCCGACCCTACCAGCCTGGGTGGGGCTGGCAAGCAGCTGGGTACCTTGTGGTGGTGCTGCTCCTCAATTTGCCTCTGGGAGCTCTCCAACTCCTGGATCAGCGTGTTCTGGGGGGTAACAGCTGTGAGCCAGGGACCCCAACCCCTCTACAGCTCAGGCCCAAGCCTCCTTCTCCCAGCTCTGACTTGACCCTCCGGCTCGCTCTTCCATCCTCACCTCCAACCTTGCCCCGTCCCCTTCCCTGCCCCTCTCTATCCTCCCTGCAGCTTTTCAGGTCGACTTCACACTTACTGCAGACCCAGCCCCACCCTAGCCCCGCTCCCTGGCCAATCTCACAGATCTTAACCCCCCCCTTCAGGCAGACCGACTCCACCCACAACCTCCCCTCGCCCCGCCCCTCTTGGCCGATCCCCCTCCTTGCGGCAGCCCCGCCCCTTTCATCCAGGCCCTTGGAGATCAGCACCTTTTCTTCCAGGGCCGCCATGCGCTCCTTGAGATGCAGCTGCAGGCGTTCGTTTGACTCACTAAGCAACCGGTCCACGGTATCTGACAGCCGCTTGTTGTGGTCCTCGTTCATCTTCTCCCGTTGGCGCACCTGCACAGCCAGTCTGTATCGCACCAGGCCACCCCAAGGCCTTCTCCCAGCCCTCCGCAGAGCCAGCCACCCAATTCCACAAGGGTTCTTCTACCCCGTTCACTTGTGGGATTACCTCTCTCTCCACCACTCTCAACCACCTCCGCCCCCACCTGTAGGCCTCCTTCCTCCACTCTGACTCCTTCCCTGGCCAGGCACATCCCCCTCACTGCTACAGCTCCCACTCTTCCTTTTTGCTCCTTCCATAGACCATCCTGGAAGTCTGGGGAGTGGGGTGCCCTCACCCTTGCCAGCTCCTGGTTCTTCTCCTCCAGCTGTCCTTCAAGCTGCCTCAGATGCTCTTCAATGTTGCCATGCCTTTCTTCAGCCTAGGGGCAGGGATGGGCCAGCAAAGCCCATTGATCTTTCTGTTCTTCCTGAGCAGGCCCTGGTGCCTGAGTGGTCTTGGAGATCACAGCCTCAGGGACATAAGCAGCCCAGACCTCCACCTATCATCCTAGAGCAGAACTGCCACCACCACAGCTTTTCTTCCCAATCACCCTCTGCCCCCATCCGGCTTCCCCTCCCACCTCTTTCCTAGTCAGGGTTAGTCTTAAAACATCCTGAAGCTGGCAGCTCAAGAGACCATAAATCCTGCTCATGCTTCCAGAAAAAAATTCTCCTTGAAAGCATGAACTAGCATAAGTCTCCTCTATGCCTCCAGATAAATGGAACTGCACGTAAGAGCATGGACTCAAGCCAGACTGCCTGGGTTCAAATCCTAGCTCTCCCTCTCTTAGCCTGTGTGTGACCTTGGGCAAATTACAAGCACGCATGCCCATTGGATCACTGAGAGTTAGACTAAATAGGACAGTCCATGGAAAGCACTTAGAATACAAGTCCACAACCCGTGCCTGTTGTTCTTACGCTGTCAAGTCGATTCCGACTCATAGTGACCCTACGTTACAGAGTAGAATTGCTCCACGGAGCATCCAAGGCTATAAATCTTTACGAGAGCAGATCACTAGGTCTTTTCTCCTGCAGAACCACTGGTGAGCTCAAATTGCTGACATTTCAGTTTACAGCTGAGCACTTAACCATTGTGCCACTAGGGCTCCTCCTGACTGACCCATGTCAGTCATGGTTCTACTGCTGTTGTAAAACCAGTCCACGTAGAGTGGTCTACCTTTTCTTTCGTATATCTCCAGAGACAGAGACCCCACTGTCTCCACTAACAAGGTATTCCAGAATATCACACATCGTACAGTTAAAAATCCTTCCTTAAAACACCCTTGTTATTGGGAGACAGCTCAAGGGACAGGAGTGCATGGAGGGATGGACACAGGGAAGAGGTAACTATTGGGAAGAAGTGGAAGGGAAGCTGTTGCATTGTGGGAAATTGCAGTCAATGTCATGAGACAAAGTATATGTGAACTGCTGTATGGAAAGTGAATTTGCTCAGTAAATTTTCACCCAAATCACAATTAAAATTTTTTTTTTTAAATAATGAACTAATACTAAAAATAACAATAATAATAATAATAAACCCTGTTGTGACTCACTTGACCATATTAATCACTTCAGCCCATTGTTTCTTGTCAGTTTTGGGGAGACACCAAAGCTGACTGCTCACCATCCCACATATAACATCCTCTGCTGTAATTTAGACCTAGTCCTTCATTCCTCGAGACTAGAAAGACCTTGTTGTGTCTTGTCAAGTTGATTCTAGCTCATAGCCACGCCATAGGACAGAACAGAACCGTCTCATAGGGTTTCCTAGGTTGAAATCTTGACAGAAGCAGATTGCCAGGGCTTGTCTCTTGTAGAGCTGCTGGTAGACTCAAACCACCAGATGTTTAACCATGTCACCACCAGGGCTCTTTGGAAAGTCCTCAGAAATCACCAAGTGCAACCCTATCATGACAGATAAGGACACTGAGGCCAGGTGAGGGAGGGATGGCTTCTCCTAGGTCACAGAGCCAGTCAGTGGCAGAATCAGACTTAGTCATGAGTCTACTAAGGGGCAGCCAGGCTGTGGATTCCATCCCTATAGCACCCTGGCCACACCAGACAGCCCTTCTCATCCAGAGACCCAGGAGCCTGGTGCATAGTAAACCTGGGTTTCCTTCTATCCATGGCCTTAAGGTAGCTATAGTGATCCCACAGGAGACTCTCCTGAAAGCCTCCAACCCACTGCAAATACTCCTAAATTCTCCTGATTAACCCACTGCATATCTATGTCCATGTATTTACCTAACTCTTCCAGAACCTAGTGTTTTTCAGCCTGCACACCTCTTAAGAGTTATTATGCCATAAAGTTTACTATTCATTAGGATAAAATGATACTCTCTTTTATTTATCCTGCGGTACAAACAATGCACTCGGCTCCTAAACAAAAGGTTGAAGGTTCTCTTCCACCCAGAGGCACCTCGGAAGAAAGGTTTGGTGATCTGCTTCTTAAAAATCAGCCACTGAAAACACTATGGAGCACAGTTTTACTCCAACACACATGGGGTCACCGTGAGTCAGAACTGACTCAACAGTAGCTGGTACTCTATTTATACTAAAGCTGCAGGCTTCAAGCAACCAGAGGTGTTTGCTGGATCTAGAATGCTTGCATTTAATAAGGAAGGATGCGCTTAGCCTAAATTCCTACCCCCACCCAGGAGAAAGAACAAATCTGTCCTGAAAGACATGCAGCCAGAATGCTCCTTAGAAGTAAGAATGGCTAGATTTTGTCTCACCTACTTTGGCCATGTTGTCAGAAAGTACCAGTGCCTGGAGAAGGATATCATGCTTGGTAAAGTAGAGGGGCAGAGTGAAAGGGGAGGACCCTCAAAGAGATGGAGTGACACAGTGGCTGCAACGATGGGCTCAGGCATGGCAGGGATTGTGAGGTTGGTGCAGGACCAGGCCTTAGGGTAGCTATAGTGATTTCATTCTGTTGTACATGGGTCGCTATGAGTCGGAGCCGACTCGACAGCACCTAACAACGACAACCTCCTTTAGGGACATACTGACTTTGATCTTATCTCCTCTCAGAGTTCATGTTCCCAGAGATGAAAGTCCAGTCCTACTCCAGCCCCAAATGAAAGACATTATTAACTACAATAGTGCAAATGATAATAAAAATACTTTGCTTCTGCAATAGTGTCTTCTTCTCATTAAAGCACTTTAATACATCTTCCTCTATGATTGTCACAACTCTGTGGGGTGATGAGAGTAGGAATCACTCTTCTTACTGACAGAGACAAGGCAATGTGTGTCCTGGAGTCACGCTGCAAGAAGGGGTTTTCTGGCTCTCAGCCCAATGTGCCCTCCCCTGTCTTCACTCACTGCCTGGCCCAATAAGAGCTCAGGGAGTAAGGATGGAGCAGACCCAAGCATCTGGCCCACTTGCCTTGGTGAGGGCTGCGATTCTCTGGGCCAGCTCAGCCTCCACCTCGGGCAGCGTCTCTGCTTTGCGCATTGTCTGCTGTAGCTTCTGCTCAGCCACTTCCAGCAGCTCCTGCAGGTGTCGGGCCTTCTCCTCACACTAGGAGAGTGGGGGCAGGGAAGTAGCTCCAAAAGGAGTATCCAAGTTCCTCCCTCCTCCCCCACCTTGCCTCAACCCCAGCCTGCAGAGAGCAGGTAACAAGTCAGGAACAGCAGGGACAACCTTGGTTCTGGGCTGCCCAAGATGCCTGACTCACCCTGGATGATGCTTCTCCTTTCCCAAGGTGACCTGCAGGACCCCAGGGACTCCTGGGCCACCAAGGGAAGGTTCCAGCACAATCGTCAGGACCTCCACGGTCAAGCACAATCCCCAGCCCCTCCCCATCTGGAGGAGGTACCTGGCGGTGTAGGGACTCCTTGTTGGCCAGCTCATTCTCCAGTTTGTCATTGAGGTCATGGATGGATGTGGCCTCACGCTGGGCAGCCAGGTAGCGCTTCTCCAGTGTGGTGATCCGCTCCTCCATGTCCTCTTTCTGGGCCAGCGCCTGGGTGGAACAGGAGGGAATGAGAGGGAAGGTCACTAGCTCCATCTGCCCCAATCCCGTCTGAACCTCCCACCAACACCTGTATCTTTTCCATGCTCTCCTATTGGTTTCTGATCTTGGCCCCCCTTATTCCTCCCTACACTGCTGTTGTTATTGTTAAGTACCATGAAGTCAATTCTGACTCATGGCAACCCCATGTTTACAGAGTAGAACTGCTCCATAGAGTTTTCAAGGCTGTGACCTTTCAGATTGCCAGGTCTGTCTTCCAAGGAGTCTCTGAGTGGGTTGGAATCTCCAACCTTTTGGCTAATAGTCAAGTGCTTAACTGTCTGAACCACCATGAGACTCCCCTCCATACACTGGACCACACCAAGTATTTACTGTTACACCCCCAGCCCCTCCCTGGCCCTCACTCCACACCATGGACACCTAAGCTACTGCCCTCCTAAGTGCTAAACGTCCTGCACTCAGCAAGAAGAAGCCACCAAGAGCACGCTGGGCCCTCACACACCTCGCGGAGGTCCCGCTGATGCTTGCTGCTCAGCTCCTCAGACTTGATGAGGTCCCGGCGGGCTGTGCCCAGGTCCTCCTCCAGTTCAGTCACAGTTGCTGTCAGGGTGACCAGTCGCTCCCGTGCCTGGCTCAACTCAAAGTTCTGCTTCTCCAGGAGCTCCTGCAACTCCTCGACCCGGCCCGCATCATCCTCCAGGGACAGTGAGCCACCAGTCAGCCACTGGACCCCTGTGGCCCCAGCTCCCTGCCCTGCCCCAGGGACATAGAAGGAGGGACAGCACTCCCAGAGCAGGTAACAGCCCTGCCCTCATGTCAGAGCATACCTCCAGATATACTTTTCCTTCCACTGGACCCAGGTGCTCACTCCAGACAGTTATCAAACACCCCTACTTTCCTATCTCTTAGAAAAGAATCATTTCTAGCTTTACCTGTTATTTCAGCCTTTTATAACCCAGAACAAGACATGATTAAGGGAAACAAAGGCTCAGAGAAAGAAGAAATCTGGCCTGAAGCTGATACACAAGGTAGATGGCACCTAACAATTCAAGCTGGACAAGCATGTCATGTGCCTAGCTGAGTATCAGGCACTAAAACAAAAACCTATTGATTTCCTTGCAGATAGGATACAGGAAAGAAAGAGAGGAAGTGGGAATACTGGAGATGGCCCCAAATTTAACTCAATCAGTTACTCCACTGAACCAAGGTGAGGGAGGGCCCCTACCTCCTATCTTGGGGAATATGTACGCCCTGTTATGCAGCTGCCCCGTTACTCACCTTCCATAGGTGTTTCGGTCCCAGCTCCACAGTCCCCTCCTCTTCTGGCACTCCATCTCGAACCCCTGCCCCCTGCTGCAGGGCAGACACCTATAGGGCACAGCCCTCGGACAATGAGTCAAAAAAAGAGAGCCTCCTATTCATTCAGACCCTTCTGAGCCCACCACCTCCCAGATAGAGGTACCTAGCCTAACCTTGGCTAGCAGTCTCCAGCCAAGATAGAAGGGACAAACTGGATGAGGAACAGAGTGGGGCAAAGGAGTAATCCAGCCTGGGTCTCCAGGAGCTGCTGTCTGCAGACAGAGGGTGGTCAGGCCACTTACCTGCTGGTGGGCACCTGCCAGCTGCTCCTCCAAGGTAGTGACTCGCTCCAGTGCTGCCCGGAGCCGCTCCCGCACCTGCCCGAGGTAAGGGGAGATGGAGGAAGAAAGGGGGACCCCACTGGGCTCAGGCTGGAGGGGCCTGGGGTTGGTCTACCACCTTTGGGCATGAGGCAAAGAGAAGGGCATTCCAAGAGGGAGGGAACCTGGAAGGAGGACCGCAAAATGAGGCCAACAGTAGGCAGGAGCCAGTTCTGAAGCTAGGGGGCAGTTTTCCCTAAACAAGGGATGTAGGAATCTCAGAGAAGAGACACATGGAGGCTCACGAAAGCCTGGCTGGATGGAGGATGGGCTGGGCAGTGGGCCTGGCTGGCAGCCCAGGTACCTTCTCATCAAGAGCCTTATGGTGCTCAAACAACGACTTAAGGGCCTTCAACACCTCCACCTCACTGGACACCCCTGAAGGTGACTGGGCCTGGCGCTTCACCACTGTCATCCGCAGTGACCGCTCATGGCGGGACACCAGGCATTCCAGGTGTTCCAGAAGCAGCTGGCAAGGAATAGGGGAGGGAGAGAGATTGTTAGCCCGTACCCCAGAGAGTATATAATCAGGGTCCACATGGTTACCTAATAGGCACCAGTACAGCCAAACCATTGCTAAAATGTTGAAATACTCTGTTGTTGTTGTTAGCCAGGAAGTTGGCCCCCAACTCATGGCAACCCCATGCACAATGAGATCAGACTGATGCCCATAGCAGTTGGTAAACTGCTACCCCAAATGAATGCCCACCTCAAACTGACTGCCCTAGCAAGACCTGACCTCCCCAAGACCCCAGCCTTCCCACAATCTAGCAACTAGAGGTGAAAAGTCTAGCACTGGTGGTTAAATGATTTAAATATAAGGCAAGTAAGAGTAAAGATGGGGCTGGACATGTCCTCCCCCAGCCATGCCTGCTCCGTCAGTTACGGTATCCCCACCTCATACACACACACACACACACACACCATATCTTGTCCACTTACCCTTGTATTATTACGTTCTGCTTTCAGCTCTGAGATCTCTTCTTCCCGTTCTAGAAGTTGCTCCCGACACATGCTCAACTCCCGGGTTAAGGTGGCAAATTCCTGAAAAACCCCAAGCCCCTCAGTGTTTGCAGATTCACCCTCTAAGGAGTGTCCTATACCTCAAAGTCAGGGAGATCTTCTTACCCATCCTGTAAAAATCTCTATCAATCCATATCTCAAAGATGTGTTAGAGATACAGAAACTAAGGCTGGATACAAGAGTGACAAAGACTGCAGCCTTCTCCCCTCCAGCCACCCATGTGTCCTGCTTATGTCCTTCCTCCCACTCCACATTTTTTATTTGAGGAGGATTTGAAGATAAACTTAAGTGGGTGCCCCAGGGAGCTCTCTTCCATCCCCTAGCAGAACTTTACAAGCTGCAAGTGGCCAGAGACATAGAGTTAGCTAGCTTCCCCGTGGAACCAACAGCACGTGCAGACCTGCCCAGCCAGCCATATTGGTCAGCCCTGGCTTCCTGGGACCCCTGATTATCAGGCTATTGATTGCTGCCTCCTGTCACCGATGCTACAGCACTTGCCCTGGCTTTACAGAATACCCCCTTGGAGGGAGACCCATCCCACACTTCCAGGCCTGACAAATTCAAAACCTTTCTAGCCCATCCTCCACAGGACAAACAGACAGGGGTGAGAGAAAGGCTGATGTCCACAGACCCAGGCCCACCATATTCAACTTATCTAATTAGATATAATCTCATTCCAGAAAGGCTTTCGGATGAGTGGCCCATACTTTGGACAGCTAAGGTTGAGAGTGACTGAACAGAGGAGGCTGCAACCATGTCCTAACCTGAAGCCAGCCTTACATACCAAGGAGCCATGACTGAAGGAGAGCTCTCGAAGCAATTCCTTCCTATCATTTCACATCAGGGCTAAGGGAGGCTAGGAGAGTTGTGGGAAGGGGACAAGGGACCCAGAGATGCCAGAGCCGGGAAAGTGGCTGGCCTCTGATTCTGTTCCTCAATTACTGACTTTCTGTCAAGGCCATGGCCAAAGGTAGTCAAGCATCCCCTGGAAGCCTAGGCCTGGACTCAATGTTGCTTTACCCTCAGCTTACATACACACACACATGCACACACACACTCACATGCCATGCATACATGCATAAATGCCCTCGTGCACACATACACACATATACATACACGTACACACACATGCATGTGCATAGGCAAACATACACACTTGTACCCAGGGATAGGACTCAAAGGCACATCCCTAGCCCTATACCATGACACCACCACCTAAGGACTGGTGCTCTCTTCTCCTCTGCTCTTAAGCTCAGCAGCTTGCCTGGTCTTCCCACCCTAAGATACCACCCCACTGTCCAAGTCTAACCCACCTGACACTGTTGCCAGCATCATCTCTCAAAGATCAACACGGTCCTAAAATTCAACAGAAACTCTTACCCTGGTTTACAAGGCCTCAAACCCATCTTTCCAAATCTCTCTCATGATCCCTTTCCATACACTAAGACCCAATAGATCTGGGTCACTTGCTATTTCCAAACACCAACAGGCCTTCCTAATAACATACCTTTGTACAGTGGGCTCCCTCCCCAGGGAAGCCCCAACCCTGCATCACATCCTGATAAAATCACACCCATTTTTCAAACAAAGCCCATCTCAAAGGATACAGCTTTGTACAGCCTTCTCAGATTCCCCAGCCAGAGGACTCTCTCTCTCCTCTGAAAATGGTTTTGTATAGTAGCTGAGAGCGCTAGATTGGGAGTCCATTATTCAACCCCCAAAATTTCTAAGCACCTACCCTTGTGCAGGGACCTGTGCTAGCTAAGCACTGGGACACAGCAAGAAGATATAACCTGTGTCCTGAAACTGCTAGTGTGGACAGGCAGGCAGGCCTGGGGTCAAATTTCAGCTCTGCCTTCCCCTTTAGCTGTGTGACCTTGGACATGTTACTTAACCTTTGTGAACCTCAGTTCCCTAATCTGTAAAACAGAGATACAGTCGTACCTCAAGTATCCCTAGGAAGAGTAAGTGAGCCAATACACAGAAAGCACTTAGCACAAGTCCATCAAAGGCAGTTATTTTTTATCAACCCTTTTGAGCCTCTCCTCTTCCCCTACATTCACTTCTAGTCATTTGGGTTCTTGTTTATCCTCTCTCTATTCTATGAGCTCCTTGGGGACAGGGATGGGCTTATTCACTTGCTGGCTTGTTCAGAGCCTTGTACACCCTAGTTCCTCAGCAGGGCCCCCGTTCTTATCCATGAAGTATCACAAGACTGCTCCCATCACTTCTGAGCTCCGGGAAGGAAACTCACCCACCCAGACCTAGTCCTGACTCTTCTACCCCACACAGGGACAGGAGCCAAGTCTTGAGCTGTTTGGCTCCTCAGGCTGCTTTCCCAACACCAGCAGCCCAAGACTAAGAGGGGGCCCCACAGTATGTGTGGTGCCCAGTACAGAGGAGGTGGAGAGGTCTGTACATGAAGTCACTGTGCACACTGTGGTCACAGACAGACAAATCCTGCTCCTCCCTGGGCCTGGCTACCAGGCTTTGTACATACCTTCTTTGACAACCAATAGGCAAAGGGTCCAGCAACCCAATAACCCAGGCAGGTTCTTGCTCCCTTTTGCATCTTCAGAGCATGCACTTTGCCCTGGGGTGTCTACCAAATGGGTGATAATAAGGAAGCAAGAGATCTCCCAGCCAACATGGTGAAATAGAAAGTATAGTGGGGAAGTGAAACACATAGCCTCTGGAGGCCTGGCGAGTCCTGCCTCTACCATCTGCTAACTGGGTGCACATAAACAATTTACTAATCTCTCTAAGCTTCAATTTCATCACTTGTAAAATGCAGATGGTGGTGATGGTAGTACCAGCTTCTTATCTATTATGAGAATTTGGTGAGGTGATCCATGCAAAATGCTTAGTCCAGTGCCTGCCACATAAGAAGTACCAATAAATGGTAATTATATGATTGCTAAGGAGCCCTGGTTGCACTGTGGTTAAGAGCTCAGCTGCTAATCATATGGTTTGCAGTTCAAACCCACCAGTCATTCTGCAGGAGAAAGATGTGGCAGTCGGCTTCCATAAAGAATAAAAAACTCAACCCACTGCCATCGAGTCAACTACGACTCATAGCAACCCTATAGTTCTGCTGTAAAGGACAGAGCAGAACTGCCCCCATAGGATTTCCAAAACTGTAAATCTTTATGGAAGCAGACTGCCTCATCTTTCTTCCTTAGAGCTGATGGGTTTGAACCACCAACGTTTTGGTTGGCAGCTGAGCAATTTAACCACTGTGCTACTAGGGCTCCTTTCATAAAGATTACAGTTTTGGAAACCCTAGGGGGCAGTTCCACTCTGTCCTACAGGGTTGCTATGAGTGGGGATCGACTCAACAGCAAAGGGTGTGTGATTGCTAGTAATAGCGTTGTTGAAGTGCATGAGACGTGGTGTTAGGATATCCAGTTTCAAAACTCAGCTCTGCCTATAATTTCCATGTGATATCTCTTGGTTTTTCATCTGTGCAGTAAGAGAGCAGGACTAGATGATCCCTAAAGCTCCTATTTCCACTTCCTTTGATTCCTCATCCTCACTTCAAACACAGGAGCCGTGGGGCTGCGCTTTCTTTCCAGTCTAGGGTGCCACCTGCTGATCACCAGGGCTCACTGCAGTTGACTCTTAATGCCTAGATTTTCTTCCTTCATCAAATGCCATCCATTTCTCCAGGCAAAACCAATTCCAGGCTGAGGCGCTTAAAAGTGGATTTAAGTTGGGAGATGAAGGACAGTAAATATTCAGTGAATTCCAATCATAGATACGCAAATTGACACAGGTGAGATGAGGGCCCAGAGGACACTGGGCTCAGCCAGGGCTGGGGGAGGGGAGAGGGATGTGGGAGGTTGGCTCCATCTGGCCTTACCTGGGGGAGGGCAGAGTTAAGATGGCGCTGGAGCTGGTCCCGCTCATGCAGGGCATCCTGGAGCCGGCTCTGCGTGGCCGCCAAGGTCTCCTGACTCTCTCGGAGGGACTCCAGTAACTTCTCCCGCTCATCCAGCATGTTCACCATCAGCTGCTCAAAGTTGGCCTCGGCATCGGCGCCATGGGGGGGGGCCAGGGGGTCTCCCTCATTGATTGTGGGCATCACCTCACACATGGTTGGGGGTGGGCAGGGCCTTCACAGTGTCAGGGGACAAGTGAGGGGTTCACAGAGTTGGCACCTCCAGTGGGACCCAGCCCATGGGTCTCAGAGTGGACAATGCCAGGTGGGTAGACAGGTAGGCAGGGGCTTCTCCCATGGCATCAGTTGCTGTTGCTCTGAAAGAGACCTGGTGCCTGGAAGGCCTCTGTGGAATGGAGCCAGAAGGCCTGGCTTAATCTCTCAGGGCTAGGCCTGGGTGCTCTGTGTCCCCAGACAAGTGGGCAGCAACCAAGCGTGGCCATGACAGGCAGGGATGCCAGGGTTGAAAGACTGTCCTTCTCTTAAACTGAGTGCTGGAGCCTGGCAGAGTTCCAGCTGGGTCTAGCGACACCCATCGTTTCTGGAGGGCAGTGAGTCGAGCCTGACCAGGTCTGTGGGAGAGAAGACCGCTATGAGGAGCAGCAGAGAAAGGGCATCCAGGGGATGAAGGGGGAAAGGAGAGGCAAGGACCTGGACCCCAATGTGAGGGAGAGGGAGGTGCTGGCGCATGCCCCTTCTCCAGGCTCACTCACTTGAGGGTGCCTGCCTTAGTTCTAGCCTCTGCTGCCTGCAGCCCCCTACTGATGTCCCATCCCCCCCCCCAGCTGTCAGAAGTGCAGCCGCAGTGGTTCCCCCACCCACGTGGCTCACTGGCTAAATATAGAAATGATTCAGTCAGCGGTAGGGGAGCAGCCAGCAGGCTGCCCAGAGTCCTCCAGAGACCTGGGAATAGGAACGTGGGAGAGAAGGAAAGGGGTCTCTAGCCCCTTCCCCATACTCAGGCCAATGCAAGTGCAGAAGGGGTTAATAGGCTCTTAGGGGTTAAAAGGTTCTTAGAGTCTATATAGGTTGGACTCCTGGGGCCACAGGCAACAGAGTAACCTCTGCCCTGAACACTGGCACAACATAGATCCTAAAGCACCAGCTGGGCACAGGGGCAGGCAAAGAGCCCTGCCTGCCACAGTGCCCATCATTCAGGGAGGAAGCATTGGCTGAGGCAGTCCCCATTTCTGAAGCCTGCCAAGGAGTAGTGCACTCAGGCCTGGCAGGCAGCAGGCTTCCATATTGAATGCAGAGCCAACCTCCTCTGGGTTGGAGCAAGGACCAAACAATAGAAAGGAACCTAGAGTCTACATGGGTTGGGGGCTGAGGTGTGTAGGTCACCTGCTCAGAACTTCGTGTTACTACCCCCTGCTGGCTCTGCCAGAGTCACCATCACAGACGCTTAGCATGTGCACAGCCTGGACCCAGTGATGCCTGGAGCCTGGCACTGGTTAGAGCAAAAACAGGCACACAATCAGGAGGGCACCACCCAGTTGGGTATTCCTCTGCCTACTGCCAGCTTCCAACTTCCCTGGCCATGTTGGAAGGCCACAATTTTAGTCAGTTTCCAGAGGGAATTATCTTCCATTCTGTGACAGAAGGAATGTGAAGGTACAGTGCAGTGATGGGCACATGGACATGCTCCATGATGGCACCTTCCTTCCTCCCCTTTGCCCTCCCCTCCTCCATGCAAGAGACACGGGGCAGCTGCCTCTCAATGCTGGGAATACCAAGCAGGCTGGGAGGGCCAGGGTGGACAGGAGGAAGCAGAGGATCCAGTGCGAATGAGAGGTCAGACACTGGATGCCCCCCCAGGCATGTGGCAGGGATGAACCCAGCAGGCGAAACCAGAAAAAGGCCAAGCCTTGTTCCCCTGAGTCCCCTCTGTCACCCTACCCCCGGTGCTGAAACAGGAGGCATCAAGAAGGGGCTCAAAAAGGATGTGGGGTCTAGATCAGATGAAACAGCATCAGCTTGATAACTCCAGGACTTCACACCCACAGCCATTACCAAAGGGGCTCAGCAGTTCAAGCAGGTGTGTGGGCATGCACACACACACACACAAAGAGAGAGAGACACACACAGGCAGACCTAGGAACATGGAGACTTAAGACTTGTATATATGTAGCAATATACAATCTCAGACACAGACACTGGACATGAACTCTGGTCAAGAGGAGCCTTTCTTCAAGCTAAACAGCAACAGTGGAGGGCAGGGTCCCAAGAAGCTACAATGTCTGGTCTGCACCCCACATACCCCATACTGCTGCTGCCAAGGCAGCCCACGTGCACCTCCCTGCCCCACAGAGGAGCTGGAAGAGAAGGGAGGGCATGCTATCCCAGGCTTGCCAGAGCTGCCACCTCACTGATGCTAATAACAGCATTTCCGCTGGTTCTCCCACACACTGCGCTCTGGCCTCTTCACCCTGAATGCTCCAGGCCACGAAGTTTTCACCTCCCACTACAGTGGGAAGACCAATGGCCTCATCATACCTCTCCAAGCTCATGAATAGCCAGGCTCACATCCCTCATCCCCCACCACTACACATGCACACGCATGCATACACACCAAGAAGAAATGAGAGATCAGAGAAGAGGCCAGGCTGGAGGCGTGGAAGAGGCCCCTGGTGGCAGAGGCTGAGCTCTGGAGAAGAGGATGCTCTGGAGTTCACCTACCCTGGAAAGGGCCTCAGCCTGTTAAATCCCAAGACAGCTTGCAGTGTCGTGAAAGGAAGGCACCCAGAGCTGAGGCCTAGAAGGCCTTGGTTGCAGTTCTGCCACAGACCAGCTGGCCATCCCTACTGAGGCCTCTGCTGTCAGATGAAACCCCTGACCCTGCTTTGCCACCTTAGAGGGATGAGCCCATAGACGAGCAGAGCTTTGAAAGCACCTACGACTGTAGTAAGAATTACCTTGGAGACCCTGGGTGGTTCAAACAGTTAATGCACTTGGCTGCTAACCGAAAGGCTAGAGGCTCAAGTTCACCCAGAGTTGCCTTAGAAGAAAGACCTGGTGATCTACTTCTGAAGACTCAGCCACTGAAAACCCTATGGAGCCCAGTTCTTCTCTGATGCTCATGGGGTTGCCATGAGTCAGAGTGGGCTTGACAGCAACTGTTATTTTATGAAACACCTTAGAGTTGGACAAAGGTGGACTTGTGGGTGCAGTTCTTAAAGCTCCTTATAGAAAAGCTAGGGAAGTTCTCAGGAAGGGTGAAAAGAACCTCACACTGGGCACTACAAGGTTCTGGCTGCCCACTGTGGGGCACCTCCTTTTCACAGCCTCCTCACACTCCTCACTAGTAGGGCTCCTGCCAAGTGCTTGCTCTGGGTGCTGGCAGCTTTCACCTCTGAATCACCTGGTAATTCTGGCAGCTAGGAAGCTGCCTTCAGTGCCACCAGCCCTTCCCCAGCCTCCCTCCAAGCCAGGTGCCAGGTAGCAACTCCACTTCCCCTGGCCACATGGCATCATGTTGAGCAGGTTGAAGATGAGCCCAGAGAAAGGTGCCAGGCAGATGCCCCGGAGATGACTAGCCAGGCCCTCCTCCTGTTCTCGCCCCCACCCCATGCATAGGCACAGTGGGCAGAAAGGAGTTCTAGGCTTCAAGTCAGGACACCTGGCTCCTGCTGGCTCCGGGGCTGTCTTTAAATAGTGCAATTATCATCTCAGCCTAACAGAAGCCTCCTCAACTCCTGCACAATTTCTAAGTAACACTCACAGGTCTTGATTCAGAGACAAAAGCTGCCAGCACCCAAAGCAAGAACCTGAAGGGGCCTTACCAGTGAGGAGTGTGGGCAGGCTGTGAAAGGCAGAAAGAGGGCTCAAGAGGGGGTGAGGTGAATGTGTGTGTGAGGAGGGAGTGCTCAGATGGAAAGTAGGTCTCTGGGCTTTATAAACATGGAAGAGGTGAAGTCAGAGGTATCTTTGGCTTCCCAAAAGTCACCCCATCTTCTAACAAACAGGAGGGATGAGTCTGATGCCCTGGCTGGCCACACACACACACACACTGAGCTCCCTACTGCCCTACCAGATGGCAGGTCCCACCAAGAAGAGAGATCTACAAGGGCAAAGCTACTTGTCCCATGGAGGCCAGAGGGCCAGGGCAAAGCTGCTGGGCACTGAGCTCATGCCTAGTGGGCCAAAAGCCAGGCCAAGAGGGAGCCACACGGTAGAAGCTTCAGAGCTAAGAGACACACTCACTCTCAATTGGAAGAAGGCTGACGGCCTGAGGAAATGGGGGGGGGGGGCAATCCAGGAAAATACAATGATATGATAGCCACCCACTGCCACTGAATCACTTGTGACCCATGATGACCCTATAGGACAGAGTACAACTGCCCCATAGTGTTTCCAAGGCTTTAAATCTTTATGGAAGTAGATTGCCCCATCTTCCTTCTTCAGAGTAGCTGGTGTGTTTGAACCACTGACCCTCTGGTTAGCAGCCAAATGCCTTATCTACTATGCCACCAGAGCTCCTTTCTATTATGATACCCACTGCCATCAAGTCTTTTCTGACTTGTATTTCTGAGGCTATAAATCTTTACAGAAGTAGATTGTCTATTCTTTCTTCCCTGGAGCAACTGGTGGGTTTGAACCACTGATCTTCCAATTAGCAGTCAAGTGCCTTATCCACTAAACCACCAGAGCTCCTTCTATTACAATAGTAGCTATGAATTATCCAATACCTAACATGTGCCGGGCATTGTCAGTTGACATATATTAACTTATTTGAAACTTCACAACTCTGTATAACTGCTCCGATTTTACAGATGTTAGAACTGAGGGTCAAAGTCATGTACTAGTTCATACAAGAGGAAGAACTTATCCATTCCAGTCTGACCCCAAAGAGGGCTAGGGGATGGAGGAGGCATCACACTTCCTCTAGGGAACTGAGGAACCTAGGGCCTTCCTTCCTCTTACACAGGGTGATGGTGGCTCAAGAACAGCTCTGCCCTCCACCTCTCATCATCTAGCCTGCAGAAAAACCTCTGCAAAGTAGATGTCATGGCCACAAGGTGGGCATGTCCCCATAGGAAGTGACCTATCTCCAAGGGTCCATTCACCATACCACCCCAAATCTACCCCCAACTCCTACAGTCCCCTACCTGACTTCCCATACTATACCACCCCACACTCCAGTACAGAAGTGCAGA